TGGGCCTGGAGTTATTTCCCCGTATCCCAGGCCCTGGTGCGTAGGAGCTGCTCGGCGATGTTAGTGGGACGCGCTGAGGGGGTGTGGATGGTCCTGGGGCCTGGCAGTATACGGAGGCCTGGCGTGCCTTCTGCTCGCCCCACATTTGAATTCTTCCGATCACTCGAGGAGCTCCTGCCTGTTGGGTAGTAGCATGGGCAGCCGTCGTGTGATGTCTGGAGTTGACTACTTCTTCCAGAAACAAATTGGAAGTTCTGTTTCACTCTGAGGAATGTAACCCAGGGTTTTCCCCCCAGGGGGCGGTTAGGAGGGGTGTAGACTCCCTTCCCCCTCCTAGGCTTATAGAGTGGCTTCACAACCAGCCAAAATGTAATTCTTTAATTTTTTTTTTTTTTTTGGTAGCTAAAATACATCACAGAGAAAAACGAAGAGCTCACTCAGTTTAACACAGAACAAAAAGCAAAGAAGAAGAAGAAGCTAGAGGACGACAACACAAAGTCAGTGGCTGTGGCCGCGGCTGCGGACAAGGACGGTTCTTGACCCTGTGGCCACCGGCAGACGGGGCCTCCGGCAGGGGGTGCGGCAGGGAGCAGCGCTGCCACAAAGGGATTTTCGAAGGGATCAGTAGAGATTAAAATAAAAGGCTAAGAGGCTTGCTGGGCTGCATTCTCTGAGTCATTGGCTGCAAAAGCTAGTGTCCGAGCGGGAGACGCTAGAGCAGAGGGCTCCCTGTGTGTCCCCCCCCCCCCCGCTGCACCAGCACAGGGATCCATGTGGTCACTGGCGTCGATCATCAAGTGGTGGCCACAGTGCCATGTGCTTGACTTTTTCAAGCAAATATCTTCTTTATTCTTTATTCAAACTTCTCCTTAAAGTTGCTTTGTTAGTTCCATCGCTCGCCGGTGTGGCTTCTAAGCCTGCATCACGTGTGACCAGGAGGTAAATGGGACGCTCACAGGTGCACGTTTGGAAAATGTCCGTTTTCAAAGGTGATTTTCTCCAGAAACAGAGCTTATGCCACTTTTCTCTGGCCATCTTGTAGTTTAACTGTGGTTCTATGGGGTGAAGACTTTGCTTGAGAGGAAAACCTCCATTCGCCAACGCTTCCGTGGCGGGGGGCTCTGGTTCGGTCTGTGAGGGCTGGAGCTTCCAGTCCTGCTGTCTCCTCTGCGGGGTGTCGGGGGCGCCCAGGGCATGCCCGTGCCTGCTGGGGCAGGAGGGACAAGGAACGGGACTGCATTCGGGAGCCCTCTCAGGGCCAGGCTTCCCTGGGGCTCCGCATAGCACCTCCGTGTCCCCTCACGGCCTTACGGGATGGATCTGATTCTCCCCACTTTACTGATGTGCAGACAGGCTTGAAGAGGTTGGCGCGCTGCCCAGGTCTGCTGACTGGTTGAGACAGTCTTCACCCTGGGGGGGTGCTCACGCCCAAAGAGGGGGAAGAGAACAGGACAGGTGTTCTGGATAGGACAGATACGGATCAGCAAAAGACACCCCACAACAATTGGCTCTCGAGGGGACACATAAGCTGTGGGCACAGGAGGGCCCCGAACACAAGCTTCACAGTCACACTGTGTCAAGTGTCACACCAGGTGAGAGAAGGGAATCCTAAAGCTTCTGTCCTGAGCGTCCTGCTCCCAAGATCCGTATGGCGCAGCTTCCTTTCCGGGTCGGCTCTGTCTGTCCGCATCAGGCGACGCGGGCGGCTGGACGCGGCAGGGCCACAGATGGGGATGGACCTCCGGGTCTCACGACTCCAGTGGCGGTGTGACTCCCTGTAGCTCTGTCTTCTCATCAGCGAGATAGGGCGTGCGTGACAGAGAGAATGAGGAGGACTGCTGTTGGGGTTCTCGTTTTTATGGCTTCCATAGCTCTCTGAACTCCGCATCCATGGGACTGGAAGTGGAGAACTCTGGGTGCCGTGGGGGTCCCGCGTCTAGTTACAGGGCAGGGGGGAGGGGATGGGGGGGACCCTGGCCCTGGCGATGAAGTTTTCTAGCCAAGTCTGAAACTCAACTTGATGTTCATGTAATCTTTTGGTGTATGTGCACATTTATGTATGATTATGTTTTTGAAGATTTCATTTATTTGCGAGAGAGAGAGAGAGTGAGAGAGAGAGCACGTATGGGGAGGGGAGGAGAGGAGAGGGAGAGGCAAACTCTCTGAGGAGCTGGGAGCTCGATCACACCTGAGATCATGACCTGAGCTGAAGGCAGATGCTTCACCCACTGAGTCACCCACATGTCCTGTTTATACTTCAGATGAGAAGGCTTACAACACGTTTTTCATGGCTTGTAGCACAGGAGGGGTCAGACTCTGCGAGGAAGAGCCGACTCCCTTTCCTGGGTTCTCTGGAGCGCCCCCCCCCCCCCCCCCCCGCATATGCTCCATGTGGGGTTTTGCTCACTCTGGAATGTCCACAGTGATCATTCTGTGTGATTCCATCTTTGGGGACAGATGGCAGAAGGGACTTGTGGAGGGCCCTGCCTCCGCGGGCTGGCTTCCTCAGAGTCCTAGAAGCTCCCCTAAACTTGAACCTATTAACCTTTTACCAGGCGATGAACCAGATAAGGAAGTGGGTGTCTTTGGAAGGAATGTGTCCTGGTCACATAGAAGGGGGCAACTTCCATTTTTAATACTTGCTGTCTTCTTGTTAGACTAGTTTCTTGAAGCACTTGAAATAAAGGGCCGCTGGTGACGTGTTATTACTGAAATTCAGCGGAGTCAGGGAACTTTGAAAGCCTCCCTTTCTGCACACAGCGGCAGCTGGAACGCGCCGGGAGAGGTCTGCGCGGGCTCGAGCACAGCTGAGGCTTTAAAACCCGTAAGGCCCAGGGGCGCCCGGGTGGCTCAGTGGTTTAAGCCTGTGCCTTCGGCTCAGATCATGATCCCAGAGTCCTGGGATCGGGCCCCGTACCAGGATCTGCTCAGCGAGGAGCCTGCTTTCTCCTCTCTCTCCGCCTACTTGTGATCTCTGTCAAATAAATAAATAAAATCTTTAAATAAAAAATAATAAATAAAACCTGTAAGGCCCAGAAAGCCTCCACTGGGACATGCTTCTTCCTTTACTGAACTGTGGAATTTCTAAAGAGCCCCTCGGGGTCCTTTAGTCCAGGTTCCCCACCACCTGGGAACTCCCGCAACATTCTCCAGGGACAAGAGCCCTTCCGGTGATGGGGCGCTCGCCCTTAGGTTTCTTCTGTACTTAGAGAAAAGTCCCACCCTCAAACTTTCTCGGTTCCATTTGGACCTTTAGAAGGAGCACTCTTGTTTAAAATAATTCAGGACTGAGCTCCTTCTAATCAGAAATTCCCATTTGACATCTTTCCAGGAACACGTTCTTGCCTAAAACCTTAGGTTATCAGCTTCCGGAGGGCAGGCTCTGGGCTGCACAGGTGAGGGCGGGTGCCTCCTGCGGTGTGGGGCTCGCGGCAGGCACCCAGGATACCCGGACCCCGGCGTGTAAGATGTGCTGGTGGAATAAGTGGGAGCGCTTGGGTTGCTCGGCTCTTGTCGGGCGGGGGACTCCCACATGGAGAAGGACGGAGGATGTCTTCTTCTTAGCGCTGCCCGATGTCCGTGCCTCTCGTGGGCTCCGCGTGGGCTGGGTGCTTCACGGGCGGTACCTTTGTTGGTCCTCGCAACAGCTCTTTGAGGGGGTAAGTAGGTACTGTCTTTTTGTAGCCCCATTTTACAGATAAGGCAACAGGCCACAGAGAGGCCAGGAGCCAAGCCTTCAGCCCTCTCCTGGAAGGACCAAGACCGGTGGCCGCTGGCTTAAAGGCCGCCCCTAATGAGGGCACGTGGCCTTCCTCCACCCGTGGCACCCACCCTCCCCGGCACACTCCCATCGCGCTGGAGCCGCCTTCCGTTCGTGGGCTGTGGGCGCTCCCCGCTGGCTAGGCTCTCCCGGCCCTGCTGGCCTGGGCGGCGTGGGTCCTGCGCAGCTCTGTGGATGCGTGCTGGGTGCTCGGAGCGTCCAAGAAGTCGGTCCAGTAAACTCGGCAAGAGGAAGCCGGCCGAGCTGCTGTGAATTTCTCATCTGTAAAATCTCTCCATCTGGGGGGCACCCGGCAGCCTTAGTCAGTAAGGGAGGGGATCCTTGATCTCAGGGTCATGAGTTCAAGCCCCATGCTGGGCATGGAGTCTATTGAATTAAAAAAAAAACCTCAATTTTTAATACCGTTTGTGGGAATTTTCTTAGGCAAAAAAACCATTATTTTCGTATAGAAAGAAAGGACCAAGCAGCCTGCGGTGATGACTCCTTGGGCCACGCCCGTTTGGCCTAGAGTCGCCACAAGCCTCCGCAGAGCTGGGTTGAAGATGGAGATTTCCCGGGGGGGTGGGGGGGGGACAGGGGCGTGAACTAGGACTTTGGAAAACGGAGAGAGTCCGTCCGTCTTCACTCTTGGAGAGAGCCGTCCCCTCGGCGGCTTCCCTCTTCCACTTGGAACCTGGCCGTGGCTGCTGGCCCGTGTGGCAGGTCTGTGGCCAGTGACTCAGTTTACCAGCTGTCTCGGTTGGACGAAGACGGTCTGCGCATTTGCCTGTGGAATTCTGAAACCGGGGCCAGGGAAGGGGAAGCCCCGGCGGGCGGCGCAGGGGGCGACTCCACGCTCCGGCCTTCCCGGAAGAGCGGGTCAAGCGCAGGTCATCGAGTCGGAAGTAGCAGGTCCCGCCGGGGCGGCCCCGCGCTCCGGAACCTGCCGCCCTGTGGTCTGGGTTTGCAGCCTCGCTGCCTGCGGTTCGGGGAGAACCGCCGGGTGCCCCGAGCGCCTCCCTGCACCCCCCAGGCCCCGCCTCGTCTCTTCGGCCCACGGCGGATCCCGTCACACCTCACGTGGGCGGAATTGCGGCTCCTCGGCTCCTCGGCCGCCGCTGATTTTCTATTGTGGGAAATCACTCGGCTTTGTGCTCCCGCTTCCTGCCGCGGCGCGCGTGGTCGCGAGGAAGCGGGGCCGCGGGGGCGGCGCACGTGTCCTGCCAAGTCAGCAGCCCCGCTCCCAGCTCGCGCCCCGTCGGCGGCTTTAATGAAGGGGTTAACTCTGTTCCAAAAGCGCTTTTGTGGGCTGATGGCTTCGGCAGGTGCGTCACTGCCTGAGTGTGAGGGAAGCGGGGGCACAGGCTTTTGACAGGCACAGAGACCCGAAACACAGCCGCAGGTGGAGCGTAATTAAAATGCCCCCCGCACCCCACCCCTCCACCAGACCCAAGTGCACAAAACACCGACTTCGGGGCTGCCCAAGACGAGCAGCCCCAGAGCTTCGGCCCTCAGAATGCCGCCACCTCTCTGCTTGCTGCTGCTGCTGCTGCTGTCGTCGGGGGCCACAGCCCCGGCCGCCCTGCCCCTGGAAGGTGGCCTCGAGGGACACGACGACCAAGTGAGTAGCGCGACGGGGCAGGCGAGCCCGCTTTCTGGGCGGCTGGTTCCTTGGCCTCCTCGGATCGCCCCCGTCTCCGGGGCCGAGTGTGTGTAGGACAGTCAGCAGGCAGGGCTGACCCTTGCGGTGTGCCCTTCAGCTGTCCCCGGGGCCCGGGATGTCCCCTCTTAGACCACGGGTTCTCGTTTACCTTCGGCGGTCCCAGCAACCTGCAGGGAGCTCGGACACTCAAGGGGGAGCCTCCCTGCCCGGCCATCTCCATCGTGCCATCTTTGAAACAGCCCGCATTATTCACACATGCTTCTAGAATCTTAATTTATAGGTATGGGACTCTTCTCACTGGCGCAGATTCATCGACACCATTATAGTTTCTGTTGTGAGAATTCGTAACTTTGTAAGGTGATTTATTTTTCTCTCCCCCCCCCCATTTTGAAAAAGTTCCAAGAAAGAGTACATAAAGTTGGCCATTAAAAATGGATTTTTCGGGACGCCTGGGTGGCTCAGTTGGTTAAGCAGCTGCCTTCGGCTCAGGTCATGATCCCAGCGTCTTGGGATCGAGTCCCACATCGGGCTCCTTGCTTGGCAGGGAGCCTGCTTCTCCCTCTGCCTCTGCCTACTACTCTGTCTGCCTGTGCTCGCTCGCTCACTCTCTCTCTCTAACAAATAAATAAATAAAATCTTAAAAAAAAAAAAAAAAATGGATTTTTCTCTAAAATTACCAGATGAGTTTCAGACAAGTCATTTATCATCAGGTTACTCCTAGAAGCTTTCTAAGGAATTTGAAAGAGGGGAATATCACGTCTCAATCTGATCTGTCTCAAAGAGTAATTTGTGGACATCCAGGAGTCAGACTGGGCACTTGGCGGCGGGGAAAATGATAGATTTCCTGACCTCTTCTAATGAAGGACCTCAGCCAAGATTATGGGCCAAACAAGCCATTTGTTTTCTTTGAAAATTCTTAACTTTTCCTTCTCTAATTAGAACTATTTCATTAAAGTGTTCTCTTAAGTTCTTCATCCTTTATTTTATTTTTTAACTTTCTCATCCTTTAAATGGAAATGTGATTTATTCTTCTGAAACATCTATTTTTTTTTTAAAGGAAGGAATTATGGATCTTTTAATGCTGGCTGAACCAGATGGTTGATTATATTTCTTTCCTTTGTTCTCTGCTTCTTTTTAAAAGCATCTGCAGGAAGGGATGGAAATGAAGAAAAACAGCCTCTTGACTTTCCTGGCTGGGTGGTACCAGTGGGTGTCCCAGGCGGGTGCAGCTTCCTTCACAGGAGGGGGAGCCGGGGAGGCGGCCAAGCGACAGGGCGTCCCACCCCCTCAGCGGTCACTGCGGGAGAAGACACCGTGCAAGGATTTCTTCTGGAAGACCTTCTCCTCCTGCAAATAAAACTCCACCCCCGATCGCTCATGCAAAGGAGTGTAACGAACCATCTGAATAAAATGTATTAACAGCTGTGATCTTTCTTCTACTTCCCGTGTAATATGAAAAGTTTTATTTATTTATATCTTAAAATATTTTATTTTTAGGGGCGCCTGGGTGGCTCAGTGGGTTAAAGCCTCTGCTTTCAGCTCAGGTCATGATCCCAGGGTCCTGGGATCAAGGCCTGCATTGGGCTCTCTGCTCAGCAGGGAGCCTGCTTCCCCCCCCCCTCTCTGCCTGCCTCTCTGCCTGCTTGTGATCTCTGTCAAAAAAATAAAAATCTTAAAAATATATATTTTATTTTTAGTAATCGCCACACCCAACGTGAGGCTTGAATTCAGAACCCCAGGATTGAGAGTCCTGTGCTCCACTGACTGAGCCAGGAGGGCGCTCCCCAAAGTGAACATTTTTGATAAAGATGTTCATGTTTTCTGCTGTATGGGACCCACTGGGCTTTCTTTCCACCTTCGTTATGCGCTTGGAAGGTCTTCCCTTGTCTCCCTTCCTTTGATTTAAAACGGCTAAAGGTAACATATTTAGGAATCTAGAGTGATGTCTTACTCAGTTTGTTTTCATAGAAATTGTCTAATTTTAAAAAATATTTCCCTCATATTAGAAGCAAATTTTTAACATTGTGCTCCAATGTTACTTCTTGTGTTTTGGCGAAAACCAATTTAAAAACAAATGTCATGCTCTCAAGCATGATCTCCTGTTCACATACTTATAAGAGTTCCATTCAAACCTGCTCTGATAAAATACCCACACTGGTTTTCATTAGCAACTTAATTTTAATTTGTTACAGTTCTTTCATGGATCAGGGCTTCTACATTTGCGTCTTGAAGAATGAAGTCTGTTTGTTCCAAGGCCTTATTTCAAACCAAATACACAGCAGGGCTGCTGTCTGGCCTGATTGCCTCAACTTCTAATTCCAGACTATCAGGACCACAGGGTCCAGGCTTTGTTCCGTGACAGATGCACACATGTATTTTTTTTTTAATATATTTATTTATGTAAGACAGAGCGTGCACACAAGCAGGGGGAGCGGCAGGCAGAGGGAGAAGCAGGCTCCCCGCAGAGCAGGGAGCCCGATGCGAGACTTGATCCCAGGACCCCGGGATCATGACCTGAGCCGAAGGCAGACGCTTCACCGACTGAGCCCCCCAGGCGCCCCCAGATTCATATATGTATTGATATCGTTATGTGTATAATTGTGATATTTTCCCTCCACAGAAGGGACAATGAGTGATGGCTACACAGGAGGGGGGTTTCTTTTTCTATGATATGAGGCCGAGCAGCTGTCAAGCCGCACGTGGACTGGGATTTGGGGCTGGTCCAGTGAAATGAGGGGTGAACAAGTCAGTCAGTTTCTAAACCCCCAATCAGGTCTTTATTCTCCCCAGAGCCCCAACGTCCTCGCTTGATTCCGTGTATCGTTTATGGCTCTTGAATGACAGACTCTAACGGAAACTTCCAGGGTGATGGTATTTCGATGCTAAACTTCGAAGTTCAGAGAGTGCTTTGGAGTTACAGGAAGTTTCTGAGGGTCTGCTACGAGGAAGCTTGGCAAAGGCTGGCTGGAGGAGCATCGTCATCGTCTTCTCTGGACGCCAGGGGAGCAGGCGCGGAGAAGTACTGCTGACCGTTCCATTCTGTTTTCTGCGGCGCTGAGCTCGTGTTCGTAATTACTAGCTGAGTAAAGTATAATGTGTTCGAGCAGCCTTAATAGCACCCGCACTTCCAAACACAGCAGCTTTAAGAGACCGGTAATTGGGTCAGTGCCCTGGTGCAGGATGCCAGCCTGAAGGGCTAGCTAACCTTCAGAACTTGGTCTTTTAAGACTTTTCTAGAAGAAATAGCATGCTCATTGTTTTTCAGTTTCAACTGGGGTCATACGTACAGAGTCCTTAGGATTGGGGACTTTTAACTTTGAACTAAGTAATATCTGAAGGATAATGAGGCTATGCTAATGAGACTGGCAGGACATCTGTCAAGTCTAAGCTTACCTTATTTGGTTCGGGGGCTTAATAAAACGTTAACTGGCCGCAACTGTATGGTAGGCTAGATTAATATGCTCATGATGAATACATTAGGGTGAAACAGGTATATTAGGGTAATTTTCTACCGTCAGGTTTCGGGTAGACTTTTCTCGAAGTATACCTTTGTGTAGCTCCACATAGACAAGTGTGTAGATGTGGTCATCAGCACCTGGACAGCTTGTAATTCATTCTTGCGCACTTCTTTTTTAAAAACTTGTTATTTGAGAGCGAAGCACAGATGAGCAGGGGTTAAGGGCAGAGGGGGAGAGAGAGAATCTCAAGTAGACTCCATGCTGTGTGCAGAGCCCAATGCGAGGCTCGATCCCATGACCCTGAGGTCATGAGATCATGGGCTGAAATCAAGAGTCATATGTTCAACTGACGGAGCCACCCAGGCACCCCTCTTGCATTTATTTCTAATATTTGGCACCAGAATGGATCCTTAACTGCTGAGAAAGAATTCAGTGTGACACGAACACTCGACAGAAATCCTTCCTAGTAGTCCCATTTCAGGACTAATGGCAAACCATTCTAGGCTTTAGGAAACTCAGACCAATAGGTTCATGGGAGACACTTAAAAAACTTGATTTAGTAGCACCTGCTGAAGGGATCACCCACATCCTAATACCAGCTTCTTCAGTAGAGCTATGGGTTCCATTTTTAAAAAGTTTATTTCAATAACCTCTACAGCCAGTGTGGGGCTCAAACTCTTGAGGTCAAGAGTTGCACGCTCTGCCAACTGAGCCAGCCGGGAGCCCCTGGGTTCCATTTTGAACAAATCAGAAGAGGAAGAGTTAGGTAGGTTTTAAAAAGAAGGAAAATTTCAGTTTCTAGATGAGAAAGGAAGAGGAAATGGGCAGCTGGGCTCCCCGCTATTTCTAGCTTGTCGTAACTCTAATAAAAGTAACACTGACTTATCTTTTCCACTTATAATTAGTTAAGGGATCAAAAATACATGTGCTTGTCTTGTTAAAATAATTGTAAACTGGAGGAAAAGCTACATTTTGGTGATAGTTCTTAGAAAACTGTTGGGAAATACTGAGGAAAATACATTATCTGTCCACTAACCTGTTGGTTCATTTCCTTGTAATTGCAAAGTGTGCTCTTTTTAAAAAAATATTTTATTTTCGAGTAATCCCTACAACCTGCATGGGGCTTGAACTCACAACCCTGACGTCCAGAGTAACATGTTCTATACTGACAGAGCCAGCTGGGCGCCCCTGCAAAGTGTGTTCTGATTTAGTTTGAGCAAACAGTGAACTCTGAGGTTCTGCAATCCAAAAATTCAGTGCATTTCCTGGGAATGAGTCTATCCCCCTCATTGGAAGCCTTCCAGTGCGACGGAGGACCCCACTGTCAGAGGACTCAGGCGTGGCTGGGTGTTGAGAAATACCACTTATAAAGTCCTTAAAAACTTCAAGTAATGCAAGACGCAGCAAGTGGGCGCCTGGGTGGCTCAGGCCCTTAAGCATCTGCCTTCAGCTCAGGTCATGTTCCCAGAGTCCTGGGATTGAGTCCCACATCGGGTTTCCTGATCAGTGGGGAGCCTGCTTCTCCCTCTGCTCCTCCCCACACTCACGCTTGCTTGCTCTCTCTCTCTCTCTCACACACACACACAAATAAATGGATAAAATCTTAAAAAAAAAAAAAAGAAAAAAAAGACACAGCAAGATATTTTAAGGCAAAACCCTACAAATAAAATAGAATGGAGAAAAACCCTGAAGCCCCCCCCCCCCAAAAAAGAATAAAAGAAAAAATTGAGTGGATGGCTAAGAAATAAAAGAGCTAAACAATCTGGTTAGTAAAGGCACATTAATCATTTTTGTAATTAAGGAAGGTTTTCTTTTCCCAGACTGCTATTATTTTATCCCTTTCTCTCTGGAAAATAGAAAAACTCATTAGTTTTTTTTCCCTTTTGCTTTTCCCCAGAAATTAAAGGTTCCTAAGCGGTGATTAGCACAACTCCTGTCAAAGCCAATTGCCTAATGGGGATCGACATTTGACTTGAGCTGAAAGAACGGAATGTGGCTAATGCAGAGTTCAGTAGTCCCAGCTGCTTCCTTTGACATTCTTTTCTCCTACCGTAAGAACAGGCTGCCCTGCTCGCTCTCTCCTATTTTTAGACATTTTGCTGGCTGCTACGTTTCTGTTCTAGAAGGCCTGGAGGCACATCAGTGCAGGGAAGGTGAATGGCACTGGGGGCAGTATAATGCGTTTGCGGCTGCAAGCGCTATGCATTTTGGGCCCGAGTTTGCAGACTAAGGTCTTCACTCTGTGGATCCATAGCTAGGGGCCCCCTCACGCAGCTCTGTCTTTGCTCCTGCCCTGCCCCCGGGGGGAATAAGGGAACCTGCTCTCCAGCCTGTGCTAGGTACTGGGCTCCTCCTCAGACACTACTTCATTTAACCCTTTCAACAGTGGGCTTGGTTCCCTCCAAGTCTACAGTACTTTCTCCATTATTCTACGCAGCCAAGAGGCTTGGTGGATTGGTTTCTAGCATAGCATACCAGCACCAACACCCAGGCCAGCCACCGAGAGCTCTCCTGTGGATCGGACACACATCCCTAAAGACCGTATTTTTTAACTCAGTGGGGCAAAGATGGAGATGACGTTAGGACTGGTGAGTAGAGGTGCCACTGTTCCTGGAATCCAGGCTTCCTTTACCGCTGGGCTCACTGTGCAGTGCTCGCGGGGCTGTTTACTGCGCTTACACCACCAGCACTGCGCCCGCGGTCAGAAATCTTTTGGCAGTTGTGTTGTAGGCACAGGAGGACTTTTCCAGTTCGAGCTGACTCCCACTTCTTAGGTTGGTGTGACAAAACCAGTGATCTGGATGCAGAAGGAAGAGTGTGTGGACCCAAGAGAAAACACCTGTAAGTGGGAAGATCACTGGGAACCCGGTGGCTCAGTCATCATCAGTCATGATCCTGGGGTCCTGGGATCAAGCCCTGCATCGGGCTCCCTGACTGGCAGGGAGTCTGCTTCTCCCTCTCCCTCTGCCGCTCTCCCCAGTTTGTGCGTGTGCTTTCTCTAATAAGTAAATAAAATCTTTAAAAAAATAAGTGGGAAGAGTACTGGAATTCGAACCAGAATCCTGGCCCTCCAATTAGCCTCCTGGCATGGGGCCAGTCTCTGTGCCGCACCGAGCACAGCTTTGCTCATGTGTGTGAGACGACGAGCCACACCCTGGCCAGCTCACTCAGTTTTGCGAGGCTCCAGGATGGTCAGTGCTGGCACGGAGCAGACTGCAATGTACCAGAAGAATCCCCCGCTGGCATTAGTGCCCCTCCAGGGGCATCCTGAAAGTGTGTGGGGATGTTTTCAGTTGACTCAGGGCCTGCAGACTGCCACTGGCATTGAGTGGGTGGAGGGAGGTGGGCGATGCCAGTTCTGCCTGCCTGTGCAGGATGATTCTGGACAACAACGAAGAACTGGCCCATAGCATGCATGAATTTGAATGTCATGCTGGACATTCATCTGGATGGAAATCTGTTCCAAGTCAGAGTACAAAACCTGAAGACCAAGTTTGTACAGAAATAGGAAGTATACAAACCAGAAGGCTCTGCTTTGTACCCAGAGAGACTCACAGTCATATCACATGGAGATCGATTTAATGACCTTTCATCCCCCCTGCTGATGAAACATATTAGAAAACTGGAAACAGTCTCACAGTGGTAACAGATATAATTTCACAATTAGAAATGGCAAATTGCACTCACCATATGTCCCTGTGGTCTGCAAACTTAATATGTGTCTTTATACAAACCAAAAAACTCATTAACTTGAGACGCGAGTTTGTGGCCGTACATCAACTCCATTCTGTCACCTTCTCGACTATCATTTGTACTTAGAATTCTGCAGTTCTGGCTTCAGAACAAGGATAGTGCATCTGAAATTTTTTTTCACTGTCCTTGACAGTTTCTTTCAAACAGAGAACGTAAGAAGCTGTCATCAGAAGAGGCGGGGTTCTGTTGACACAGCCTCGTCATTCGAACAGGTGGAAGGGCTCTTCTGGAAGGGAAGGAGGCCAGTCCTCCGGCCTGTTCCGGGAGAACACCCTGTAAGGTGGGGGTGGAAGGGTGGGGCGGCTAACAGTAAGGCAGCAGCTCGGGGAATTAGGTTGAAGGTATTTCTTGTGAATAAAAACAAGGTCACAGGTTCTCCAGCAGCGGCTACGCAGGCTCTTGTTTGGCTTGCTTGGGCTCCCTCGGTTCTCCAGGTGGCGAGCTCTTCCTCGAGGACATGCTCCGGAGAGAACGCAGGCTCTGCACCTGCTGGAGACGCAGGCTGAGCTCCTGGTGACAGGCCTGCTGCACTGTTTCCGTCTTCTTTACGTCCCAGCTCAAGGCAACGGCAAGCGCTCTGGGGTCTTCCTTGGTGACCAACTGCGGCAAGAACAAGAGCCACTGAGAACCACCACCTCTCCTCTCAGGCTCCCATGGGCTTCTTTAGGGGAACAAGACCAGGCCGCACCAGCCTGGGCTACGTCCTGGCACGGAAATGGCAGAGTTTTCTTTCGCATTTGGCGGCCACAGGCCTTTTTTTTACCCTCCAACACCGCCAGGAAAGGATCTCTGGAAAGGCAAGTCCTCCACTTATAGGAAATGTAGCCCAGTGCAAGTCAACAGGTTTCCTTCCTCCCAGAGACACCAGGGAGGTGCTTGGGACAGGGACAAGGATGAAGAACGAGAAGTGGCATCCAGCTTCTGGTTCCGTGGCTGTGGAGCCAGCACAAGAGGACCCCCGCAGGCGGGCCTTTCACTACATCCCACATGTGCCTCACCGACTACGGATCATCCTCCGGGGCCGAAAGAACCAGACACCTGAGCCCTGCCATTCCTCCCTGTCAACGTTTGCTCACTCCATAACCCGCTGTGCCCCAGAGAATAATGTTTGACGATCTGAGGGAGTGCACCCCGTTTTGCTCAAGCCATGTGATATAGATTAAATGAGATGCTTTGCAAATGGGCAGCTGTGAGTCAGGGTCTGCAGAGGTGGAAAGTGCCCACGCACGCACCTCTGGAGGGCAACACTGCACCCCCGGGGGGAGTGGCTCGGTGCAGCTCAGGGTCCCTGGTTCTCGCCCACCTCCAAATCCCGGCTAGACAGACTCAGCTCTGGGGCCGGCTTCTCCTTCAGTGCGGTAAGGACCTGGCCGGTAAGGGTGACTCCGGAGGAGCTCTCGCGGTTAGTCCCCGCATCGACTGCATCCATGTCGTCACTGAAGCCGGCGCTGGACTCTGCAAAGCAGATGTGACGGAGACAGCACACGGTGTGAGCGCACCGCCACACACCCAGCAATCAGTCAGGCAGGACAGAAGCAAGTCATTTCATTTCAGGACACCAGCAGCTGCGGCTGCTCTCCTGTCTGACCCCATTATAAACACCGGTTCTCTCCCCAGGAAAGGCTCTCCAGGCCCTCGGCCCTCAGGGGGACTCCCCTGGCCAGTGGTTCCTACCTTGCTGCTTTGACAAGATGCTGCCCTCCTTCTCCAAAGCCTGGAGGTAGAGCTCCAAGAGCTGCTTGGACTGACGGGCTTCCTCCCTCTGGTCAAGCACCTGCTGGAGGGCGTTCTGAAGCCCCTGCACTGTGATGCAGCTTTGGCAGAGCTCCCGAGCCAGGTCTGAACACGGAACGTCCATGAGCACCTAATGAGCAAAACAGACTTTAAGAAACCTACAAATCGGGGTGCCTGGGTGGCTCAGTGGGTTAAGCCTCTGCCTTCAGCTCAGGTCATGATCTCAGTGTCCTGGGATCGAGCCCAGGGTGGGAGCAGGCGCCCCTCTCTCTCTAGCTGCTCTCTGCCTACTTGTGATCTCTCTCTGTCAAATAAATAAATAAATAAATAAAATCTTAAAAAAAAAAAAAAAAAAAAAAAAAAAAGAAACCTACAAAAACTTTCAAAATCCAATGGCCCTGACCCGGCAGGCTCTCTCCTTCCTTCAGCAATTCGTGTCCTTGCCGCCTCTAGGGAACCTGCCAATGTTTGCCAACTACACGTCTGGGTATTTATTCTATAGAAAGCATGTGGGTGAGATGACACTGGTCTAAGTTTTAGGTCACGCTGTCTGGACCAGCAGGACTGATGATAGCCCAAAGGTCCACCCAATGGGGATGACTCCTTAAGTAAGTCATGGTACACCACAAAATGGAATACCATGCAGTGGTAAAAAAGAACAAGTGTTTTTCAGATACTGATCTAGAATAATCTCTGAATATCTTTTTATAAAAGATTTATTTATGGGGCACCTGGGTGGCTCAGTCATTCAGCGTCTGCCTTCGGCTCAGGTCATGATCCCAGGGTCCTGGGATCGAGCCCTGAGTCGGGGTCCCTGCTCAGCGGGCAATCTGCTTCTCTCTCTCCCACTCCCCAGGCTTGTGTTCCCTCTCTCACTGTGTCTCTGTCAAATAAATAAATAAAATCTTTCAAAAATATAAAATAAAATGAGTTGTTTGTCTGGAAAAAAAAAGATTTATTTTTTTTAAGAGAGAGAGCACATGTGCATGCGTGAGCAGTGATGGGGGACAGAGAGGGAGGGAAAATCTCCAGCAGCCCCCCTGCTGAGCATGGAGCCTGTAGCGGGTCTCAATCTCATGACCCTGAGATCGTGCCCTGAGCCAAAATCAGGCTGGAGGCTCGACCGACTGAGCCACCAAAGTGCCCCTCTCCAAATATTTCTTTAAAAAAGAGTAAATATGCTTCCACTTGTGTAATATAGGGGAGAAGAAAATATACTTGTATTTACTAGTATACGAAATAGCCCTAGAATGGGAATCTGAGAGATTGGTTATCTCTGGGAAGGGAAATGTAGTGGCTGGGGCAGGAGTAAGATTTTTCATGTATACCCCTCCCCCTCCCCAGCACCTCCTCCCACCCCCCTCCGACCAGGCCAGGCAAACAGCTTTATTGAGATATAATTCACACACCTCACAATTCACCCATAGGACGGGCATACCTAGGCGGGTTTAGCACCTTCACAAAGCTGTGCAGTCATCGCCACGATCCAGTTCAGAACATTTTCACCACCCCGAGAAGAACTGTACCTACTAGCAGTTACTCCCTGTTTCTTCTCCAAGTTCCCCCAACTGCAGCCCGAGGCAGTCCACTCGCCTACCTTCTATCTCTATGGATTTGGCTATTCTGGCCCCTTCATAGAAACGCAGCTATAAATCCGTGGTCTTACACGTCTGGCTTCTCTCACTTAGCACGGTATTTTGAAGGCTTGTCCATGTCACAGCGCGTGTTAATACAGCATTCCTCTAAGGGCTGAATGACACACCATCGTGTGGCTGGGCCACATTGTACTCACCCGTTTATCAGTGCCTGGCCTTTGGGTTGCTTTCACTCCTGGGCTACCAGGATAGCTTTCCATCCCCTCGGATTTTGAGCCATGTGACTGTATTCATATTATTTATTCAAATATATAAGCTTGTAAGTTTAAAAATTACCGAAGCCACTCCTTGAAGGGGCCTCCCTTGACCTCCCCATCTAGACCACTGGCTGCTCTCGGCACACTGGCTCACGGGCTCCCCATCCAAGACGCTTCCGTCCATAGAATTCGGAGTCTGGCTTGTTCACCACTGCACCCCCTGGACAGGACCCTGCCAGGTAGAGGGCAGGGGCTCAAGAAATATTTTTGGGAATTAACACATACTATTTTTATCCCAGTTTTATTGGACAGGAAATGTAGGCAAAGAGGCTAAGTTACTGGCTCAAAGTCGTAGTGAAGGAGCTGGGATTTCTTTTGGCTCCTCTCATGCTCCTTGGTGCTACGTCCTTAACTCCCCGCCCCCCCTCTGTGAGCCTAAATAGGTCTAGTGGGGCCTGGACATCTGTATTTTCTTTTCTTTCTTTTTTAAGATCTTATTGATTTATTTTGAGAGAGACGGAGAGTGAGAGAGGAGGGGGAGGAGCAGAGGGAGAGAGAATCTCAAGCAGATTTCGTGCTGAACACAGAGCCTGATGCGGGGCTCCATTTCAGCACTGTGAGATCGTGACCTGAGCCAAAATCAACAGTCGGACACTTAACGGACCGCACCCCCCAGGTGCCCCTGAGCTTCTGTATTTTCTACTCTAGATGCGAGAATTAGAAAATGAAGAGTGTTGGTTGTCACCAAAGCAGTGCTTGAAAATTAAGAAATAATGAAATTATTCGGGCAAGATGCATGGAAACTAAGGGTCTGGGGGCAGCGGAGGCTAGGTGAGCGTGGCTTCGGGCTGTGGAGGGGGCTTACCTGGAGGTCTTCCTCGGACAGGAGGATGATGCCGGACAGGTCCTCCTTCAGCTGCCTGGCCACATTCTTCCACTTCAGCCCTGCCCCGCTGTCTGTTTCATCCACATCAAAGGACTCTTGGGAAACCCACGCTGTGCCTCCATCTGACATGGGGGGAAGCCAGTCACAGGCAGACCCGAGGTGCTATGTTCACCTCCTCCTCCAACACACAGGCCTCGAGGATACTGTGCGTGCTTCCCTGACCATTTAGGATAATTTCAGTGGTGAAGGAAGAGTCTTTCCTCAGGGGTTCAGAGGAAAGCCAATCCTCATCTAGGACCTCTATTTTCCCTTCTTTCCCACCTTTGATTTTTTCCTGTTTGAAACTGCTCTGTATCCTTCTTATGGAAAGAAGCCACTTAAAACCTGCTACACGGTCACGCACACCCAGGACCCTACCACACTACCCTTTAGGTGGGCTGTATTTCTGCGTGCACCCCGTTTCCGTACACAAAAACGTTCATTGTCCCCAGGGCTTTCTCCTGTGCTTGCAGTTAGTCTCATCCTTGACTGGAGGAGCTGAAGCCACTGTCTGCTGTCCCTGGGGCTGAGTACAAACGCGGCTGGCAGAGCCACTGCTGGAGGGTGACTTCCTCAATTTGGCGGCATGGTGGCTTTCTCCAATGGGGACATTTCTTAGCCTTTGATCCTTGCTCATCAATATTAGTCCCCTTTGTATCTCCAGTGATGATGATGGTGTAACACTTACTGAGAGCTTTCTGTGGGTCAGGCAAGATCTACAGGCTTTTTATCAGTGGTTCTCAACTGGGAATGATTTTGCCTCCCCCCAGAAGACATTTCACAATGTCTGAAGGCATTTTTGGTTGTCACAATCGGGGTAAAGAGATACTGCTGGCATCTAGCCGGCAAAGGCCAAGGTTGCTGCTCACATCCTGCGATGGACAGAACAGTCCCCACAACAAAGAATTCTCCAGCACAAAATGTCAATAGTACTGTCGAGAAAGCCTGGTTTGGTATATATTACGTTCTATCAGCCCTACCACACCTAGGAGAGAGAGGTACTATGTTATTACCTCAGTAAGATGCTAAGAAGTTAGGGAACTTGCTCAAGGTCACATGGCTAGCAAATAGTACTCTGGAGTGAATCTGGACAGCTTGACTCTGCCTGGATCTCCCTGCCATCCCGCATTTTAGTTACTGTTGGTCTTTAAGTTATTTGAGAACCGGGCTCACGTCTCATTCATCTTTATCCCAAGACTCAGCACCACGCCGCGGCATGCAGAAGGGGCTCAGTGAATGCTGGCTGCGTCAATGCTGAACCAGACAAACAGCAACTAGGCGTCTGTGCAGTAAAACGAATCCCGGTGGATGTTGTATTGCATAGATGACTTTATATGTGGCCAGGGTTTCTTACCTGAATTGCTGTACACCCACTTCTCATTATTGGCCAACGCTACAAACTTGGTATTGGAAGGTAAACACAGGAAGTAATCGTCATCATCCACGATGGTGCCATCCTCTGCCAGAACCAGGGTGACTGGAGCCAGGGACTTATCAATGGCCAGAATGTCACAGGCTGAGAGGAATAAAATATTTGGCAATTGACAAAGTATCCATAAGGAAATTACATCTGTCCCTGTACTCTCACTAATATATGCTCCCAGAGCATAGCAGAATTCCTGGTAGTTAACGTAACTACAATAACTAAAACTACTGGCAAATATACCACTTACCACATGCCTGGTACTAAGTGCTTCTCGTATACAGTATTCTCCTAAAAATCCTCTAAGTATGGATGATTGTTATTCCCATTTTACAGATGTCAAACCCAAGGCCCAGGGAGGTTAAGTAACTTGTCCAAAGTCACACAGTAAGTGTCAGAGCTGAGATTTAAACCCACAGACTGACTCCTGAGGTAGCTTCTCTACATCCACGTTAGAAGGCCCTCACACAGCTTTACTTGAAAGACGGTTTTGGTTTGAAAAACAAAGCAAAGTCTGATTTGATTCCATGGGAACGAGCAGTCTTTCATTCATTTACTCGGTGGTCATCTTAAATCCTCCTGTGTCAAAAGTCAAAAGAAAGAAAGAAAGAAAAGAGAGAAAGGAAAGAAAAGAAGGAAAAGGAAAGAAAAAAAAAAAGAATAGAAAAAAGGAAATGCTTTGTGTTCTTTGAAGCATTGATCTCTGCATCCTTTCTAACCTACAGGAAGGCACAAGAGAAGCAGAAGTTTGTATCAGTAGCTTCTCATCTTTATTGTCACAGGGCAAGAGGCTTGTCCAGGGAGATCTGCACCTCCCATTTGGTGATGACAAAGTCTAAAATGCGACTGGGATGAGAGTGAGCAGCAAAGTCGCCACGAGATGACATATATGGCTGGGCAATGCTGTCCAGGACCCAGATAGAACTGCAAGTCTTGCAAAGGCTGAGCTCCAGAGAAGACAAACACTTAACACAAGCTTCTGTGCCCAGCGCATCCAGCTAATGCACTCAAGGGGAACTAAAACTTAAGCACCCTAATGTCCAGAAAAATATGTTCACGTTGGTATGGCAGAAACCATCTCACTAAAGCATCTATAACGCTTTGGCAGCTCCTGGGTCTCTGAAAGATTCCTGTCTGGTATCTTTCGGGTCTTGGTGACTCTGAGAAAAAGCACTAAACACTGACATCCCCTTTGACTACATCCTGTAAAGCAGGGCTGGAAATATTATACCCATTTTGCGGATGAGAAAACTGAGGGTCGCGGGCTGCTTAAGTACAAGGTCAAGCGGCTAGTCAGTGTGGGGCCGGGACTCAGAACTCTGGTCATTCACAGCACCTGCTCCTTGCCTCAACTCCAGAATGGTCCGTAGCATTTCCCTCTTGGCCGCACAAGTGCCTGCCAGAACTGACGGTGGAAAGGCGCTACCACCCCGCCCGGGCGCTCAGCTGGGGGCGCGAGGATCACCGTAGGGAGCCCGGGTGGCAGGAATACACCCCGGGCTGGGTCTGGTCCGAGGTCTGAGTGATTTTAGGCAATGCACCCAAGTGGAGTCGGTCTTAATTTGCATATTGCTTCCCGTCTACCTTCCCGCCATCAGGAGTCTCACACGAGATAATCGCTTTGAAACTTGGCAATCGCTGTGCCCACGTCGGTTATTTCCGTCCCAAGCCGCTCCCGCTGACCCGGCTTCGCCCCTGCCAGACATCCTCACCCGGGCCCGCTCCCCGCAGCCACAGCCCCGGCCCCGGCCTCGACCCCGGCCCCCACAGCCTCCGCCCGCGTCCCTCGCCCACCCTTGCTCCTCAGCTCCTCGAGACAGGAGGCCGCCACGCCATGCTGCTCTCGGCTGTGGTTGCGGCGCAGCAGACAAGGCTTCAGAGCCCGGGTCTCAGTCTCGGCTTCCCCGACCACCTCCATTCTCTTCAGGGTGGGACCTGACTGACTCGAGGAAGTCAGGGAAGTTCGGCGCGGCGCCCTCCTCCCACCCGCGGCGTGCAGGGAGATGTAGTTCTCTTTGCGGCAAATCACGCGTACCACCAAGGTACGCCGGGAGATGTAGTCTTAGTTGCGGCTAATCACGTACGGCTTCGGGGGCATGCCGGGAGCTGTAGTCTCTTGGTTCGAAGCCTACTTCGTTATGTTGCTCAGTTCGGCCCAGGGGAGTGTTTTTGTACTTTATATTTAGGAGTTTCAGTACCGGGATCAAAATGAGGTCAACAGGGATTTATTTTGCATTATGAAAGACACGCATATATACTCCCTTGTGTTTTTAGAGCACTCTTGTTTACATATATAGATGCATAATGTTAATATTTAAATGGAACAATCTGTCATTGTACTGTATTAACTTGTTTTCCCTCTCCAAACTGAAAAGATCTGTAAGATGTCCCAACTTTCAGGATAATCTGAAGGAAGTCAGTTTAAAAATTGATGACTGTAGTTTTCAGTCCTGCTGAAAATGTAACAGAGAAGCATAAAATACATTTCCACCAGTTCGATTCCCTGCTTTAGCTGTGCAAATTGGGTTGGGATCCCGGAACAAATTGCTTACACAACTAGATTAAACATTAAGGTCTCAAAGAAAGCAGAGGGGAAAGGGAAAATGTGAACCGCATCATAGTTTGAGATTGTCCAGATGCTGCTTGGCAATAAATTCATCTTCATTCTAATACTGCTAGTTACCCACTCTGAAAAAATTAAACATTAAAATAATGATAAAAAAAATCAGGGGCACCTGGGAGGCTCAGTGGGTTAAGCCTCTGCCTTTGGCTCAGGTCAAGACCTCAGAGTCCTGGGATGGAGCCCTGCGGGGGGGGGGGGGGGGGGCTGTGCTCAGCGGGGAGCCTGCTCCCCCCATCCCCCCGCCTTGCCTACTTGTGATCTCTCTCTCTCAGACAAATAAATAAACAAAATCTTAAAAAATTAAAAAAAAAATCAAAAAGTTTCCTCGTTTAAAAGTGGGGGCATATTATGTAAACAAGAAATAGTCCATATTCATTGAGTCTCTTTCATGTTTTGTTTATAAGAAAATAAGATATCTCCTAAGGAAAGAGTAGGCATTTAAAACAGCTTTTGGTAGGGGGAATTGCTACTTGAGGCAACCGTTTTGAACACTCCATAATCAATCACAAGACACAACTGCAATACGAACTAAGTTCTAATACATGCAATCTTTTCGTGTAATTTTATAGTTAGCTTAAAAATCTAACTACTATAAAGTAAGAATGTGGAAGCCTCTCCTCTCCAAAAAAAAAAAAAAACAAACCTCCATTCAGCGTTCTCCTAAAAGACCTGCAAACCTTTATCAGAATCCTATCTCCAAGATGCTGTAGTTGTGTGTGCAGGAGCTGAGTCCTGGATCTTTTTATTTCTAGCGGTTACCAAAGTGCCTGGCAAATAGTAGGCATTCAACAAAGGGTACTGAACTGAACCATAAATTAATTAATTTCCAAGTTTCTTCCCATTCATTCATTTATTAAAGACTTCGTGAGTCCCTGCCTGTACCCAAGGCATCGTGGGGATGGGCAGAGATTTAATTCAATGAGAATAATACACATATAAAAATGCATAAAGGACGGACTTAGGATCTTCCTGGCCAGCGGAGACCTAGTGGCAATAGCGTGAGGTGACCGAGACGTGGGAGTTCACGCTCCTCCCAAGTGCCTGCCATCGACCAGCTCAGTTCCGGCTACTTCGGTCTGGGCGTGTGTGCGAGAGCGAGGGCGCTTGGGAGAAGCCTCGCCCAGCGGCGATAGATTAGTTAGGCCTCAGAAAGATGGCGTCCTCGGAGCAGGCAGAGCAGCCGAGCCAGGTAAGGGGAGTGGGACTGCCCTGCCGTAGTGGCGGGGACCCTGGCTGGAGGGGGCGCTCGGCGTGCGGCTGGCAGCCGGGCGGGGGCCCAGAGCCTCCGCAGCGAGTGGCCCCGACCTCTTGCCCCCTCCTCGGCCCCGCCCCTTCTCAGGTCCTAGCCGTCCGGCCCCTCCCCCGGTGACCCCTCTTAGACCACATTCCCGAGCTCGGGCTCGGGGGCACCCACGGGCCCCCACTTCCAGCCTGAGGGCCCCTCGGGCCCCACTTGCACTTGGCCGGGACGGTGGCAGGACCCTTGAGAAGCCTCCAGCCCTGAGCTGTAAGGGCCCCTGCTTGAGAAGATAGGGGTGAGAGGCTCGATCGTTCTCGGTTGTCCCCTCCCAAGGAGGGCCCTGACTCCATCAGGGTTCCCACTTTCCCACAGCCTCCGCCTCGCTGAAGTGGCCCCACTGCCAGCCTCTTTGTCACCTTTGCGCTTTCCCTGCCAAATTGGAGGGTCGGAAACGTACTTGGACCCTCGCAGTGCGTTGGTAGGAAAGGGACTCACTTGTAAACAACAGACGCCACCAGGCTTTTGGTTGAGGATCCGTCCTTGCTTCCCAGAGTTTGGTTTTCTCTGCCAAAGGACTCCGTTCTAGCTTTTCAGACACCGATTCAGCTAACTCCCATTCCATTTAGGGGACCTTGAGGGCCAGTGCTCTTGCCTGTGCATCTGCTGTCGGGAAGCAGTGGATGATAAGGCCTAGGAAAGGATTTGAAATTCAGAGGTGGGGTGGGCTGGAGTGAGATGGATGGGGTAAGCGGTACCTAGCATTTACTGAGGGTGTGCTGTCATGCTGGGGACAAATTAACGTTTATGGTTGTTTAGTGCTCATTATGACCTTTATGAAAATCAGGCTATTAACCGCCATTTCACAGAAGTGGATGCTTAAGGTCTGTAACATGCCCTAAATCATGTGTCTGATTGGGTCTGGATTTAAACCCAGATGTGTGACTCCACTAGTTACCACACATGCTTAAATTTAGTTAGGATTAGACAGAGGAAGAAGAAAATGGTTCCAGTCTGGACTTCATCATTCACCTCCCACCTCCTTGAAACACCTGTAGACTTTTCACAGGTTACTGGTATTTTCCTTCCTTGGAAGAAGAACACTGCTTAAAGTTTCTTACTGTTATATTCTTCATGATAAGTCTATTACAGGAATAGCACTTAAGAGGAGCTGTGTGTTCCCCAGACCAGCTTCTGTTAGCAGAGTGCGTGATTCAGAAAGATGTCTGGATTGTAAATTATGGGAAATAACTAAGACTGATTCTGGCCTTCTCACTGTCAGAAATTCTGGAGTGTAGGAGTGTCTCAGAGGAGGGGGCCTTCTTTCTTGCCTTCTCCCTCTTAGCTTGCTCAAATGCTGAGGCTTCTCAGAATCTAGGCCTTTCTGAACTGTTATATGTTAGGAATGTTCACAGCCTGAGATTAAAGGGGTCTTCAGTCCTGATTCTTCTAGGACTTTTAGTTTGCCAGTGCTATGAAGGTTACTAAAACGCTTGCCACTTGGAACCGTTGTGGTGCCCGAGGATTCCTTTGGTTCTGGAAATTGTCCTCTCGGTATGTGTAGAAGGGATCTAAGGTCCTTTTCAGAGGGTTTGGCCAGCACTTGTTTGGTTTGGTTTTCAGCTCTGCTTCTCCTTTGCCCTCCTTTCCAAAGCTGGTAGAGATGGGATTGCATCAGAATACGCTGGCAGTCTTGGGAGAATTTGAGCTCTTCATGCCAAATTCTGTCACCGTCTAACAATAAGCTGCAAATGCACACTTATTAAATGAACTAACTCTTTTCAGCAGTTGCTTGTCATTTTATTTTCAAGTCCTGATCTACTTGGCTTCCCATTCCTCCAGTCAAAGCAGAATGGAATTGAAGGGACTATTTGGATGATTCCCTGCAAACCTGGTCTGTAAGAAAGAACACATTTTGCCTTTGGGGCTGAGTCAGTATTTGTTTCATAGAAGGTCTGTTGGTTGGCTGTGTGGCCTCAGTCTCTCATTTTGAAAGATACAGGGTGATACCCAACCCTTTCTTCCTTTGAGAGACAGTGTAGAACAGTGGTGTGGGCACCAAAGCCATCCCTATTGGCTTAGAATCCTAGCCCCACTACTTAACAGCTGTGTGATCTTGGGCAAGGTACTTCTTTGGCTTTAGTTTCTCCATCTGCACAATAGGAATAACACCAGTGCCTATCTCAAAGGATTTCTCTGAGAATAAATGAACTCACTTAATTAATTAATTAATTAAAAATATTTATTTGTTTATTTATTTTTAAGATTTTATTTATTTATTTGACAGACAGAGATCACAAGTAGGCAGAGAGGCAGGCAGAGAGAGGGGGAGGGAAGCAGGCTCCCCACTGAGCAGAGAGCCTGACGCGGGGCTCCATTGCAGGACCCCAGGATCATGACCTGAGCTGAAGGCAGAGGCTTTAACCCTCTGAGCCACCCAGGAGCCCCTATTTTAAAGATTTATTTATTTGAAAGAGAGAGTGCACACGTGTGCGCTAGCAGGTGTGGGGCAGAGGGAGAGGGAGACAGAGTCTCAAGTAGACTTCCCACTGAGTGTGGAGCCCGATAGGGACTTGATCCCACAACCCTGAGATCATGACCTGAGCCGAAACCAAGAGTCAGACACTTAACCAATTGAGCCACCTAGGTGCTTCTAAATTAACTTAATTTTAGAACAGTGCTTGACATAGTGTGTTATCTGTTATTATTGCATTCATTAAACTCTGGATTTTCACTTACAAATGAGAAATCTTTTTTCAAGTCTTATAATGTTTTTTTTGGGGGGGTATGATTTTTCACATATTGACTGCCAGCCCACTAAAGTTCTTCTTTTATTTGTTTTGGAGTCATTTCCTTCCAATTTAAAGGAATATCCTGAATGTTTATTCTAGTTGTCCTTTGTGACTTTTGGAAATCAGTAACATACTTGCTTTTTTTCATAATGGTGGTCGTTTTAGTCTTTCTCCAGGACGGTGTGTTGGAGTTGGAAGTCAGATTTATTGCTTCCTACCCTTGCTCTGCTTTCTTCATGTTACTCTGGTGTGCATGGTTGATCTTACGAGAGGCCCTTCTAGTCTGTCTGTATGTGGTGTGGCCCATAGGAACAGGAGCTGTTATCCCTGTTTCTG